GCAAAAAAACCTGAAAATAATAAATTCCTACAGTATTTAAAGTTGTAATGAAAAAACAATTAAGGTAAGCAGAATTTGTTTCTTTGATTCACTGAAAAACTCATGAATATCATGTTTTATTTATTTAAATTCTTTATCTGTGGTGGTTGAATTCATAGTTAATAAAATTTTTAAATTAAAAATAGAATCGTAAAGTACAAAATTTGCTTTTGAATATCCAAGGAAAATCACCCTTTGAATTGGAAGACTTTTGTTATGAATTTATTAAGTTTTAACACCAATTAAAATGAAAATTGTTACTTTTTAGTTTTATTTGATTGTTTAAAAGTAAAAATTGAGTAAATAATTGATTTTATGATTTATGTACAATTGCCTCGTAACATTTTTTTGCTTGCCCCTTTCTAGGCAGCTAGTTTTAAGTCTAGGCTGTACGACATAAAAATATACTTCTAAATTATCTTTTTTTTCATGAAACGCTTATTTTCGAACGATTATTACGAAAATAAATGTTCAAATTAAAAAACAAAAGGAAAAGAAAGTATTATATACGTTTAAAATAATGCATTTTTGGTAAATTTATAAAAATTATCCATGCTAGTCCCTTTACCACTTATTTTAAATATTTACATGCGGAGCTGGATAAAATAATTTTTTACCAAGGTTCATTAGTGAAGCATAGAATTTTTTTTTTTACCATTATAAATATAAAAACAAATCTTCCGAAAAATACTGAAGTAATGCAACAATGTTAATAAAAAGTTACAAACAATGCATTTAAAAGTAATATTTTTTAAAATATTTTTTTGGAGTAATATGTTTAATTTTGTGGAAAAATTTCCGTTAAATTGTTCCAGCTGGTTTCTTTTTTGGTAGTCTTTAAAAACGTGATCGGTTTAATATCGCTTTTTGAACACATTATCATTCATTTACGAATCGTTAGTTTAATTTATTTCTTTTCCTATTCGGTATTTTTGCGATCATATATTGTTCTGCTTTGGGCGGGCAGAAATAACTTATCAAATAAATCCCCAAGTTAAGCCTAATCGTTTCCCTCTAACGATGTTTCCTCGTTCATGGCTCTTTTAAACACCAACGACTATTTCGATTTATTTATAGATTTAAATTTGTAAAAACAACATTGCTTTGATGTTTAAAAAACTTTTTATTTCTCAAACTATAGATAATCAAAAACATAAAAGCTAAGTTTCACACTTTTTATTAAAAATGCTCTATTTATGTATCCCTTTATGTTTCCGTGTTAGAACTTCCTAAACTTTATTAAATCAATTACGAAATAAAAATATGCTTTTTTATAATAAACCAATTTATTTGATTTCATCGCAATATGAAACACTTTTCTTTTAAAAATATTTTTTTTCAAAAAACAAAAGAGTTTTTGTTCTTTCATTCTTTTTTATATTTAAGTGTACGTTTCTTATTCTAAACAATGAACTATATTTAATATGTCTGTAAAATAATGGTATGCAAAAATTTTCTAAACTGTTATGTTTCTATATATATGTATAAAATGTAGATTAAAATGATGACGTAATCAGTGGCAGATCCACTTTTCTCACACGAGGAGTCAGATTTCTTTGGTTGTCATTAGAATCAATTTAATGAAAGTTAACGAAGAATTAATTTAATGAAAGTTAACGAAGAATTAATTTAATGAAAGTTAACGAAGAATCAATTTAATGAAAGTTAACGAAGAATTAATTTAATGAAAGTTAATGAAGAATCAATGTAATGAAAGTTAACGAAGAATTAATTTAAGGAAAGTTAACGAAGAATCAATTTAATGAAAGTTAACGAAGAATTAATTTAGTGAAAGTTTATCTGTGAACCATTTTCGTATCTCTAATTTAAAGGTTCAATCACGACAAATTGGCCGGTGGTGGAAAAGCTATGTGGAAGAGTTCACTTTTACATTGGTTGGGAGGGTTAAAGCGTGTGCCGAATGAGGTGTCTTTATTCGCTTTCTCATTATTCTCCGTTTCTCTTTCGTTTTTACTTTCTTTGCATTCTCGTGAATCGATGGGATAAACTCTAGACTTTCTTTGCATTCTCGTGAATCGATGGGATAAACTCTACCGGTTCCCTTTACTCTCACTTTGCATGCGCCAACTCGTGATACGAAGCCAATAACTGTAATACTTATTCATTATACTTTCTTACTATTCTCTGTTCCTGTTATGTTCTTTATTTTGATTATTATTATTACTCTTAAGTAAAGACTTAACTAAAAGTGGTGTTCTTATATTATAAATACTAATATATTTCCTAATTCGGCATCATTTTTCGTTATCGTTTTACAATTATTAAACGAAGTTAGATTTATTTTTAGTTAAAGCTTCGTGCAAAACTGTGCTCAGTCAATATAGTTTTATATACAGTTTTACCTATACAATTTCATACAATTTTATACAATTTTATATACATTAGAATAATGAATGTAAAATTGTAAAACATTATGAGGAATTAACTTTTTGCATCATTACTAAATAATCTCTTCGGTGAAAAACACTAAACGAATTTTTTTATTTATTGAAACCAAAAAAGTGAAGAAAGTTTAAAAAACAAAATTGTAGATGAAGTTTCAATTTATTAAAATATATATTTTAATAAATTGCATATTTAATAATATTTAATAATTGCAATATATTTTTAATAATTGCAATATATATCAATTTTATTAAAATTGAATCAGAAATTTTTTCTGTGAAAGAAAATCTGTCAATACAATATGAAATTTTTGAACCTTTTAATTGAATAGTTATTAATTTTTAAGTAAATTCAGTTAAAGATTCAAAGCCAAAATAATTGCGTAGCAAACTTGGGAATTAGGGAACGAAGCGAGCAGGAGGTGTAGATTATAACACAAAAATTATTAGATCGAGAATTATCAGTACAATTTTAGAATAATGTTTACGAAACATTCTGATAGAGAAATGTCATTAATGCTATTATCAGTTTTTTTTTCTTTCTTTCTTTTAGTTAGTTAGTTCACGTCATAGTGGAAGATTTTTTGTCTGCAAATTCCTTTTAAAATTTCTATTTTCCGTTAAGAAATTGAATTGAAACTATGTGTTATTCTTTGTTTCTGTTTTTTTGTTTACAATTTTTTCGATGTAAAAGAAAAATTAAACAAATTTAAGTTTTTCAATTTTTTACAGCCACATAATGTTTAAAAATAAAAATAATTATAGCATTTCTTTTTTTAAAATTTTAATAAGTTTTGAAACTATTAAGCTTTAAAGTTCTTTGTTTTCTTTTTAAACTTTTTTCCAATGAAATTTATTTATGTAATCCCGAAAAGTTAACAAAAAGTTCGATTTTTTTTCCGTAACATAGCCAATTAGATTGCTTTCATTAAAAAAATGTGCTAGATTATTTTAATTAGAAATATCGGTGTTAATCTTTCTGTAAACTAATATAGTGAGCCTTTGACTAGTGTTCTTCCATTTAATTTATAACCCCCGCAAACCCGACTTTTTTTAGAACAATACCTACTGCGTAGCTTATTTAGGAAAAATTGCAGCTATGGTGGCAGGGAAAAGATTACGTCAATAAGCTTATAATAAAATATAAAATTAATTAAATTATAATTAATTTTAACTAGAACTAATTAAATAATTTAATTATTATTATAATGTTATAACCGCGGTTAAACAGCCGACCCAATTTTTTGGGTTTACGACTACTAATGTTCAACTCCGTAGCCTTGTAATTTTGAATCCAATCCAGAAGACAAGGGAACTCCTGGATCGAGTATTGGGAGAAATTTGTCTTCGTGGAGGACTTTTTGATGGAACTAACCCGCATTTGCGTTACATGGAACGGAAGACCGCGTGAACCTCCCACGGTTAGCCTGACGGCCAAGGGACTCTAACCCATGATCCGTCTACCACTGAGGATATTTCACGTCAGCACTGTCAGTGCGAACCGGATGCGGATTGGTATCGACCAGCCATCGCTGGGATTCGAACCCGGTTCACCTCATTGAAAGGCGAACGCTCTATCCCCTGAGCCATCACGGCTGAAATAATTTAATTAGAATTAAATTAATAATTAGTTGGAGCATTGAATAGGAATCGAAGCTAATTTTTAAGGGTTTCTAATTCACAATGTTTAAATTTGCGCTTAAATTACCTATCCACTCCAATATTCTGGTTTCTTGACACTGCAGATTGTATTGCAAATGTAGAATATTTTATTCCACATAATTTTTTTATAAATTTTTTAATTGAGTAAGTTTCTTTAAATAAATAATAATTTGTTTGTAGATTTTAAAAAATTTATACTTCTTTAGAATTTCTAAATATTCATATAATATTCAAACCCATCTCTCATTTGAAGAATTTGAAAATCTCATTTGAAGTAAAACTTTTTAAATATTTTTTTGATGTTTTACTTTTTAAATAAATCACTTCTAAATCTTCTATCGTTTTCTTTAAAGTATTATAAAACGAAAAAAGAAACAAGACGTATCAGTAGAAATATGATAAAAAATTATTCATGTATAATTTTTAGGAAGGACCCCCTCTTGAGTATGATGTAGGATATTTCTTTTAGTGCGTAAAACTTTTACTTATTTGTGTTAATTTCTTAAAAATAAGCACAGAAATAATATCAGTTTAGAAATATTTTTTAAAATACTTTCTTAAATATTTTTTTATTTAATTTTTATTTTTTTTAAAATTATTTTTAAAAACAATATTTTAAATTTAATTAAAAATCAAATTTTAAATATTTTGAGAGTTTTATTTGCAAAATAAATAATTTCAAAAATTTCCTTTTTTCTTTTATACATATGTATATAAAATGCAGATTATATATTACACATAAATCTTATTACTAAATTCACAAATTTATTTCAGTTTGGAAAGTCTAAATCTTATATTCTTCTTTAGAATATCCGATGCCAAACGATATTTAAAATTAAATCACGCATTAAGTTCCCCCCATAAAAATAAAATGAAGATCTAATGCCCACTTACCAATGCCGATGAGAGAATCATCATTGCAGATCCAAACTATAGGAACTCGTCTGCCAGCAAGTTCCACGGTTTGATTTAGAAAGCGACAGTGTGACAGAAAACGACCACTTTATGTGGTTTCGGTTGTTCACACTAGCTTAATATTCCAAATATAGGACATGAAAGCCAAGAGCTATCGGGGCAAAAAAAAAACGGAAAAAAAAACGATAAAAGAAGAAAGAAATTTTGAGGAAATTTATTCGGCTTAATTGAGAAAGGAAATCGATGAAGATTGAGAAAACAATTTCGGAAGTGAAACTATTTTATTGTTTTCACAAGATGATTGGCAGACGATAAATATTTTGAATTAATATGTTTGTTTAATTTTTAAATACCTATTGTAAAGGAAAGTAAAAAAATATCAAAGCACAATATAATGTATATAATTTTTTTGCACCTTGTTAAACGTAATGTTTTGGGCAGTAAAATTCAAAATTCTAAGTGGCAATTTCTGGTTAGTTTTGTTCATATATGGCAACGTTACTTTTAAAAAGTAACGAGTAAAAGTACAAGTATTTTTAAAAAAAGTAACGAGTAAAAAGTAAAAAGTTCTTATTTTAAAAANACGAATCTCATTTATTTATAAAGGTCTAATAATTATCTAATAAATTTGGAATTATAATGCATACATGCTGAATGCCTATTACCTGTACGAAGTAAACAAAATAAGCTTTTATTAAATCAATACTGAACAGCACTACGAAATTATGCAGAAAACTGACCAGCACTAGTAGTAAAACTAAAATAATACGAATTTCTTTAATATTTATTATTATTTTTTGTCCTTGCCGGTGGCTTTACGTTACTAGATTAAGGCAGAAACCTTTTTAGTAATTCATCTTATAAAAATAACGAATTAACTGTATTCAGTATCTTTAAAATGATGTTATTACTGAGGTTAATTCATGATTATCAAAATTTTCCACAATTAGCGATTTTTTTGGGTACTTGTTCCTTTCGAAGGGCCGTAAAAACCTATTTCTACTTTATCTACAAAACTGCACAGTGTCACTGCAGTTTTAATAGGTACCAAATATACTAATTTTACCTACATTAAATTATTTGGTATTGATTAAAATAGCACTAATTACCATAATACCAAATGCCTATTACCGAAATTAATTAAATACCATTGGCGTCAATAATAACTTATAATTTTATTTTAATAAACATCTATTAAAAAAATCAAACAAGCATTTTTACTTTTAATAATAATGCAGCGATTATTTTCCTTTTCTACTAAAAGAATTACCATCATTTCTCCATAAATTTTCCTATTTAATACATAGTTAATTTTTGTTAATTTCAATTATATTACCTATTACCAAATCATAGGCAGGAATAATAGTATAATGATTTACTACATTTCTCTTAGCAGATTTAGTACTATTTTTCGATTAATTTTGCCTTACAGTGCGTAGCTTATTATTTTTTTTTAAAAATTTGTCCAGTTTTCCTATTTCCCAAAATATTTCAGAGCATTTCAAGCTTTAACGCATTTCATGGGGGAAATGACCTTGAATTGATTTTCACAGCCACTTAACTTTTAGAGAAAGCAGTAAAATCCATTGTCCTTTTTGTTTGCATTTCAAACGAAAAACTCAGACAAAACGGATTTTATCAGTTGCAATTAAACTGAAGAATGCATGTGGCAATGTACGTTAAGAATTACTTTTATAATAAATACAACTATAATTTTGTACATAAATTTAGCTTTTTTTGTTGAAAATGTATGTAGCATGATAGTGTAATGCTGGATAATGCTTTGCTCTATCCTTGCTTTCCATGCAGATTTCTTTCATGGCTAAGATTTATACAATAAATAGTAAATACTAGTTTACAAGATAAAGGTGTATCAATTGCTATTTTAATTATGTCTAGTGTTTAGGAACTTAAAACCAGTTTTGTGTTCTTTAAGTATTTCAAAAAGTGATTTTCTATTTAACGAATTTTTCATGTAACGAACCTATTATTGGAATTTAGTGATTTCGTTAAATAGAGGCCCGACAAACGCGTGGTGTCCATTTACTCAAGGAATGCTAATTTGGTGACGTAGCCTGCCTCTATGCTACCACGCTCACGTTAAGCTTATCCGACAAAACGAATAAAAATCAAGGAACTTGTAGTAAACTCCTTTTTTAATTATTGAGAGCTATAAGCAAGAAAACATCACTGACGCTATCATTAAAATCGTCTGCAGTTTCATTTATATCAATGACACTTGTAAATCAATGAGAAAATTCCGTTTTAAAATGTCTCTTAATTAAAATTAAGTGATTTGTCTTAATTAAAATTAAGTGATTTTTTGGATCGGGAGTTAAAATTTCTCCTTTCGAATTCTCAGGATAGTAGAACAAAAGGTTCTGTAGTCATAAGTTCGACAGACACACAGACAGACTCTTAATTTTATTATAGACGTTTTAGGATTAATTTGACATTCTAAACTTTATATTTTAAGATTAAAATTAAAAAAATTAAATTTTGATCAAAATTTCTTTTTGAACATATTATTATATACATATACGTTTGAATATATACGTGAATATATTATCCTTTTCCTATAGTCTTAAAAATTTAAATTTAAAAGCAAATTCCAAGCTAATACGTATTTCTAGTTAAACANTTTACTCAAGGAATACTAATTTGGTGACGTAGCCCATCTCTATGCTACCACACTCACGTTAAGCTTATCTGGCAAAACGAATAAAAATCTGGGAACTTGTAGTAAACTCCTTTTTTAATTATTGAGAGCTATAAGCACGAAGACATCACTGACGCTATCATTAAAATCGTCTGCAGTTTCATTTATATCAATGACACTAGCAAAGAGAAAACTTTTTTTAAAATGTCCTTCCTGAACGATCAAATTTCAGGACGATAAAATAAACGGTTCTGGAGTTTTTAGGAAGCCACACACACAAGCAAAAGCCTCATCGATATTATTTTACTATGTTAAACTAAGTAGTTTTGCATGGAAAAAATTCAAAACTTTAAAAAAAGGCAGTCGAATAGTCCCTGATAATTCACAATTTAAATAGATTTTTGATTGACAATTGTTTATCTTTTTTAGCACATTCGTTATAAAAGAGTATATTTTAAGGCAAGTTTTTATTTGATTTTCTACGTTTCAGACTTTTTAGAAAATTAATAAATTTTGTTAAATAATTTTTTATGGTTCAGTTTCTTAAAATAGATTTTCAAGTGAGGAATTTCATGAATTGGCTATATTATATCTATGATATGAGATTAATCTGATAATTGGCTAAGAAGTTATTTTGTCTCTTGAATCATATTAAAATTTAATAAGTTATTTAATCTTTTAAAAGCTAAACAACGCCATATGAATTGATTCATTAACGCAGGTGATGAAATTAAATAAAACGTATATTCACAAAAATTTTATAGTTGTTAATCCCTTCAAAACCAATTATAAAATCTTTCTTTACAATTACAGCATTACCAGAAGAATAAAGAATTATAAATTGAAATTTTATGGTCTTTAAATCAAACATTTCGCTCATGGGTAGCAATAGCGGCACAACTCAAAAACTCATGTTCTGAGATAAGTGAGTTTAAAGTTTTCATTGCTAAGGAAAATGCATAAGAAATGCTTTAGTTTACTTAAACGTAACTTCAAGTTGAATTATGAGTTGTGCTAGTACTGCTTCTGAAAAGAATGTGTTCTTTCATATTTACACCTGTTCTTAGTCCAAAACGCGTGTTTTTTTTTATTCGTGCCTCTATTGCAGCCCGTGAGCGATTTGAGTACAGTACCAATGGATTATCCTGTAAGTTAATTGGGAGCAGACCTTTGGATAAGCAAAATATTCGGATGACAAGGGAAACAGTTTTCTAATTTCATCATTAAATTTTTAATTTTAAAATCGTGATTTTATTTTTAGAAATAATGAAGCCTTCCAACTACAGCCTGTTGTGGGCTATGAGGGTCGGGGGGAGTTACAGCTTAACAATTTCGGTACTAAAGGCAAGATTGTGACAATGTGGTCAGCAATGAGCATGGGGTCGCTTTTACTTCACAGATAAGGCTGCTGGTACCCATTGATCTGAAGCCTGAAGCTGGGGGGCTTGAAGCCGCCATTAGGGATCGGACACGAGTTCTTCCTAACGACAGTTTAGCGCCATAACATCTGAGCTATCGCGGTTCACGTAATAGGTAATAAAATAAACACTAAATAAGTAAAAAAAAAAGAGAGAATATTTAAAAAAAACAAACTTGGATAACTAAGATAATGCTACTTCTTTGATGCTTTTTTGAATAAACCATTTGTAAAGAGCATCGTTTAATTCTGAATTTATAACTGACATCCCTGATTTTCAAAGTTGTATATTTTCTTTCGTACGCTTTATCTTTCTTTTGATTTCATTCGCATTACGATATTATATTTTTCTCCGTTACAGTAGAAGTTGAAGCCTCGATGGTCAAACTAAATTTCATTAATAATTATGAAAGGATTGGTTGAAACAATGAGAATAAAATCTAACCGATTAAAAATTTACTTGTTTCCCGCATAAATTTATATATTTTATGTAGTCTTGAAGTACGATGAGTTTATTTTATTTTGTATGCTTCATGCGCAACTGAAATATGACAATACATTATTATAATTGGGTACTTGCAACTCGAGGACCGCTGAAATCAGCTGATTATGTATAAAAAATATGGCTTCTTAATGTTGCAGCTATTAAGCTTAGTTTATTATCACGCTGAATCAATTTTCGGATCAGATATTATTGGGTTTCTGCAAGCAATTTCACTAGTGGGTGTCAATTTTGGTCAGCTGAATCGTGACTAATGAAGTTCGACACCCTCGCATGACGTCGATCGCAGGTACTCAATTGTGAAAAAAAATGTATACATGACTGTGAAAATAAAATAAACTTCGGGTAACTGAAGTTTCTGGAAAGAGGTTTGAATGATCGAAGTTCTATTGTACTTGAAAGTATATTGTTATGCGTTGGTAAATTTTGTTTCAGCAATGATAATTTTTTTAAAAATAACCTATTAAGTGTCAAAGTTCTCATGACACCCTTCTTCTCCCCCTAAAAAAATGGGCAGCTAAATTATTTCAAATTTAAACTTTATCTTGGAGGGAAAAGATAATATACATAGAGGGAAAAGAATTATTATTCGACAGAAATATTTCTT